AAGGTGGACTAAGAAAATGGGCCCCACTAAATCTCACTATATGATTGCCAAATATTATCGTTACTTGATTTTCTTTAAATGACAAAATTAATTTTTTTTAATAATAAATATACTAATTTTTTAAGTGGTCTTTCTGAGATGTCAAACCGAGAATATGAAAAGATGGAGAAGTAATATGAAACTGTTTGATGAAAATTAGAGTTTTATTTAATTGAATAAATTGATATTATTATTATTATTATTATTATTAATATTGTTATTTATTAATATTTATTATCATCATTATTAATCCCATTTACCCACTTAATAACTCAAAATATTCCAAAACCACTATTCCAAAATCACTGACAATATTCTACCATTTTAAATAATGTAATGGATACAGATATGTAACTTCCAATACACGTGTTTCAACCCTAAAAAATTAGTATATCCACACCTTTCACTTCAATATTTTTTGCTTATATTTGAAGCAAACTTTCCCAAAAGTAAACATCATTAATGCTCTACTTTAACATCACATCAAACCTATATCTATCATACTTTTCAATAAAGATAGAAACCAAATTTGAATAATATAATATTAATTTTTTTTCAATCTAACAAATTTATTTCATTCCCCATAAGATTACTAAAATACAATTTTAAATTAATTCGAGGTACAATATTCTGTTTGGATTCATATATTTAAAAAAAAAATCATTATGTAATTGCAATTTTTATAAATTCATTCTCTACATTGACAATATTTTTTCTTAATACTGTTTTTTTCTTACATTGACAATATTTTTTCTTACCTATTTATACTACTAAAAAATATTACCGTTATTTTATTGTTAGTTGCAATCTTATCATTCCAAAACGAAATCAATATCCTGAAATCAAATTAATTATTATTGTAGTTTTTTTTGCCAACTATTATAGTTGCTTGATTTTCTTTAAATGACAAAATGAATTTTTTTAATAATAAATATTATCGTTATTTTATTGTTGTTGCAATCTTATCATTCCAAAATGAAATCAATATCATGAAATCAAATTAATTATTATTGTATTTTTTTTTGCCAAATATTATTGTTGCTTGATTTTCTTTAAATGAAAAATTGAATTTTTTAAATAATAAATATGAACCACTTAAATTGTAGGAGCGTGTGTTTCTTTATGGACATTGCAAACGAGAGAACGTTGAAAAATATCAAATATCCAAATGCTTCTGACACAACAACATTGGTAAAATGTGTAGGAATTTGGGAAAACTATAGATAAACATGCTTTAATGAAATCCCTTTAGGTTTTACGGCTATATTAATACATAGATTGATGAAAAACTTTTCATTTCCCTATATTACACATATCCACATGTTACGTAATTGCCAATTATTTTGGAGGGAACAGACGAATTTTCGTACCAAATATATATATATATATATATATATATATATATATATATATATATATATATATATATATATATATATATATATAAATATATATATATATATATATATATAAATATATTATATTTTAATTTTTTAAAAATAAGTCCTTTACTAGTTTGTATTGAAATTATGAGAATAATAGCTATTTAGATGGAAAGGACGCTATTATCACGCCTTTACTGTTAATTCGTCCCTTCAGTTTGTCGTTAGGAATTGCTCCTACTGGTGGAAGAGTATATTGAATCTTAACTTAGGGGACTGGTGTCAAGGGTCTGATTACTCGGTGAAGGATACGTATAAGGATTTGATATCTATAACTGATAATATGGCAAAAGCTGAATATGCCAAAGCATGGAACAAGCTGTCTCGACGAAAATCGCGTGTTTAGTGTGGAGAATATTTCAAAATAGAATTGCCACTAAATTTGTCGCCCTCGCATCGTGTCTGTATTGTGGTGCTGGGGTGGAGCTTTAGTGGTTGTTCAGAGGCGTTTTGGTGCGGCTGGAGCAGCCGTGTAGTCCATGATCTTTCATTAGCAGGAGCGTTGATATTGCAATTAGTGCGAGATAATTGTGTTGTGTGGTTTAGCATTTGGGCTCTTGTATTGCGATTCTGTTTTCATAAGATTGGAGCATACAGGCTATTCAATCCAATTAACAATAATATTGTGACGAGTATTGATATTGTGATTGATGAAGATTCTGCCTCAGATTGGAACTTTAATTTTGCAATTGACAAGTCATTGATGAGCTATAATTTCAACGAAGCTACTAATGATATTGAAGTCAAAGATATTGTCAATATTCTAGTTGAAGTCAGAGATGTTGCTGACATACCCGAACCAGTCGAAGTCAAAGAGGATATGGCTGGAACAAGCCAGAGACCTCAAAGAACTAAAGCTCGTCCAGCAAAACTTCAAGACTATGAAGTGGTTGGTTATGATGAAGTCACAACAGATGGATAAATAATTTATTTTGCTTTACTTGCAGGTGCTAAACCAATCATCTATAGCAAAGCCTTCAAAGATAAACAATGGAAGTCTACTATTTCCAAAGAGTCACTACAACAAAAATGACTTTAGGCAACGGAGGAATAGACAACGACGGTAAAACCGTCCCTATAAGTAACATAGGCTACGCGTTTTTACGTGTGGACGCTTTTTTTTTCCAAAACCGTCCCTTATTTATTATATGCTACGGTTTTGAAAATGTGGTTATATTTAATAATTAAACTGGCAAAATCAAGACTTGAACCCGAGTCCCTTGCTTCATAGTAAAACCTCACAACCACCAGAACATCAGCGCCATTTGATTTTAATTTGAATTCTAAATTTATTAATTAGTTAATATGTTCTAAAATTTGAAAATTTTCATCCGCCTCATATAGTTTCTCAAAGTTGGGGGTTGTTTAGACCCTAACTTTTCATCTCTCTGCAAGCGAATATTTTCACCCTCATTCATTCCGGCAACCGTCCTCCCTTCTCTCATCCATTGCTTATATCTCTCAAACGTAAGTTTCTCATTCTAATTTTCTAAATAATAATAATGTGCAATTTTCAATCTCTCATGTTCATATTTTTGCTCTAGGGTATTCACTCTCAATCTTAGTTCTGCATTTGACTTTCATTCTCAAACCCAACCTTTCAATTTCAGATTTCAGTATTGTTCTCACTTTTAGGTATTTTACTTCTTATATATAATAGAATAGTAGACGTGATTCTGCCATGGTAATGAGGAAATAGCAGAACTTTGTTTTTTAATCTCAGTTTGTGTTTATGGTTGTGGTTATGGTGATATATATATATATATATATATATATATATATATATATATATATATATATATATATATATATATATATATATATATATATATATATATATATATATATATATATATATATATATATATATATATATATATATATATATATATATATATATATATATATATAGAGAGAGAGAGAGAGAGAGAGAGAGAGAGAGAGAGAGAGAGAGAGAGAGTCTTGTTTACTCTTTGTCTCTCAATATAGCAAGTATGGATACAACTTTGGTTAGGATGAATTTGAAGTTGTTGCCACAACTCTCTATAGTGTCCACCAAGAATGAGGCCCAAGTCTTTGATAGCAACATCATATATTTTCACTTAAACTTTGTAGCTAAGTTTTCTGCTATGTGTCAGTACTAAATATTGTCAAATAGCGGCTATAGAGACATTTGAACAAACTACTGAGTTTTTGAACTGTTAGGTGATACAACTACTGAGTTTTTGAACTGTTAGGTGATACAACTACTGAGTTTTTGAAGGAAGGTTTTATTGATACAACTACTGAGTTTTTGAACTGTGAGGTGATTTCCCTCCCTTTTAAATTCCTTGGTATTCGTGTTGGTGATAATCCTCATAAGATTCGGTTGTGGAATCATATGGTCGATTTATTCAGGAATAAACTAGCAGTGTGGAAGAATAAAAACTTGAGTATTGGCGGTAGGATTACGTTGATTAATTTGGTGTTGAACTCAATTCCTATCTTCAATCTCTCGTTTTATAAGGCTCCGGTGCAGATTGTGAAAACTATCACTAAAATTCAAGCTAACTTCCTATGGGGTGGTTTGATGAAGAAAAGGAATATCCATTGGATAAGTTGGAAGCGGGTTTGTTTACCGAAAGAGCTAGGCGTCTGGGTATCAAGAACATTATGTGTTTCAATAAAGCTCTTTTGTTGAAGTGTAAATGGAGGTTGATCAAGGAAGAAGAAGCATTATGGAAAGGTATTTTGAAGTTCAGGTATGTGCAGAAATACAATAACATTGGTCTGGCTATGTTGTGTAAGGAAGGTAAAGGTGGAAGTAACTCGGATTCGATATGGTGGCGTGACTTAATGGTGATCGGTTATGACAAGCTGTTATCTATGGATCTATTTTCAGATTCGATCAGAGGAGTGTTGGGTGACGGAAGATCATTATCCTTCAGGAATTCTCGTTGTTTTGGCAGCAGTTCTTTGAAGGACGTCTATCCGTCATCTTTCTTAGCTAGCATTTCTCAGCATGCTACTGTGGTTGAGATGCGGAAGTTGTTTGAAGAACAAGGTTGCACTAATATTTCTTCTTCTTCTTGCGTAAAGTTGAGAAATTCATCTCATTGATTGAGCAACTGCACTTAGATGATAATAAGAGTGATTCCTATGTGTGAACTCATGAAGATGAGAAATTTTATTCTGTCTGTTCTGGGTATATGCTAATTTTGCAGGTAAATAATATCATTGAATTGGATGGTAGGTCTGAGATTGTTATGAAGATAATGTGGGCTTCGTCCTTTCCTTATAAAATTCATGTTCTGTTATGGAGATTGTTTTGGGACAAGTTAGCCACTAAGGACCAATTGCATAAGATAGGTATAAACCTTGGCAGTGTGGATTTACAGTGTTCTTGTTGCAGTGCTGTAGGCAAATCGTCTCGCCATATCTTCTTGGACTGTCAATCTGTATGTTTAGTAATCTCAACAGCTATGCTGAAACAAGTATTGAAATGCGTGTTAAAGAAATATAATAGCTTGTGAGTCTTTCTCAAAAAAGAAAAGAAAACTTACTAGGAAAATCAGAGATATTGGCTTTAACATCACAAACAGCCGGAAGTTGAAGAAGCTTGTCCTCTTGAATCCCCATGCTCTTACTTTCAGGACTCCCCTTATGAGTCTGTTGAATGATGTAACACAGACACTCCGGATTCGTATCCTTAATACTCTTGGCCGCATCACAACACTCTTTCTTCGGCTTCGGTGCTTTCCCCGTCGCAAAATACAAACAAGGAATCACCTTTGAAACCACCTGACTACATGTCTTGGACAAGTCTTTTGCTCTGTTTGCTGTGTTGGAACAAACTATGATGGTTAGAGCCAGAACACAGAGGCATGTGAATGTTTGATGTTTCATCTTTGATGTTTGTGTGTGAGGTTTGCGTTGAAAGAAAGTATTCTTGCTCAATGGCCAAAGGTTAGTTGTGTTTTTATGATTTCTCTTTAGTTTTTTTCAGCTTAATAGTGAATTGTCTATGTCAGAATTGAGATGGAGCTTTGTTATTATTCTTGTTTTAGGTAAGAAACTTTGTGTTCATGCCTCAAGAGAGGAAGGCGTTATTTCTGTCAAATTTCTGTCGGTTGGGCGGGTAAATAGAAGGTGTTATTTCATGGAGGATTTTATGCCAGTCGCCATAGGCCACGGCATAGGACGCAACACCATGTATATATGAATGATTTTTGGTCGGCCGCCGTAATCCATCATCCAATATCAGCAAAACTGTTATACTTATAGATTTAAGTTGATTCAAATACCTATGTATCCAGTCCCTTTTTATCAAGTGATTGTTAGGTTTGACTTTGCTAGTAAAAATTGCATAACATAAGTGTTTCATAACTGTTAAGACCTGCCCTTGATTGACAGATTAATTATGAGGTATCATCCTATAAAAGCTGTCATAGAAAAGTCATCCCTTTTTTCTTTATTCAGACACAATTTTGACATCAAATTATATGGTTAAAGCAATCCAAATATGTGATTAACAAAGTCCAATTGATGGTTAATGAATATAAAAAGGTGTTGTAGTTCATCAATCACATACTCAACACAATTAACGAAAGGTATATGTGTATATTTGAGCACTTGGAAATCATGGTAAATGATATTCATAATCGTGGTTAATTGTGTTTAGTTGATGGTTAATGAGTTGCGATACCTTGTTAGATTTATTACATGAATTGAACTGCGTTAACCACGTATGAATTATGTTAACCATCTAATTTGATGTCAAAGTTGTGTCCAAATAATACTCTACTTGTCTTCGTCTTCTTTAGTTTACATTCTGACACATTTTGACATTGTTGGTATTTTCTGCTTATACAGAGAAGAAGGCCGCAAGCGACGCAACACATCAAAGATGTGGTTATATTATTTTATAGCATAAGATCGGATAGCAAACAATATCATCATCTTTATTTTGTGGTTCGGTTAGATACCCTTTGTTTTCACACGCAATCTGTGGCTTTCAAAGATTTTCTCATACACAAATTATTTGGCTGCATACCTCATATCTTTACTACAGGAAAAGAGAATTGTGTTTCTCTGTGACAGACAAAACTCTTGTACAATTTTCATAGAATATGTTTTATTTCTGGTCATAGTCCTCATAAGCCACTTACTGAATTGAACTCTTTCTTCAAGTTTACATTGTTGTGTTGTATCTGATGTGTATTTTAAGATTTTTCTTATACGTGTGCCTGGTGCAAAATGTTTGTAGACTTATATTGTACTAATTGTGTTATAACTTCTACTTTCCATAGTTGTATTTGCTGAAGATTAAATTCTACTATCAAAACTTCCGATTTTCTACTGATTTATTCTCTGCTACAGTTTGTGGGAGACAAAGTTGCATACGCACTCTCACTAGGGAGGAAAGTTATCGCTTGCATTGGGGAGACTCTTGAGCAGCGGGAAGCTGTTACTACTGTTGCTCTTGAGTTTCAAGACAACGTCAGAAACATCTTAATGTAGTGATGTGTTTTTGAATCATGAATTTAAGTTTTTTAAAATTTTAATCATACTGTAATTTTTCATAGGCAAGTGGTGACAGAACTGAAGGCGGCTGGTGCTACTTGGATTCAATTTGATGAACCTACCCTTGTCAAGGATCTGGATGCTCACCAGTTACAAGCATTTGATTATGCTTATGCAGAGCTAGAATCTACTTTATCTGGTTTGGATGTTCTGATTGAGACATACTTTGCTGATGTCCCAGCTGAAGCGTACAAAACACTCACCTTTTTGGAGGCTGTTACTGCATATGGGTTTGACCTTGTTCGTGTAACAAAGACCCTTGATTTAATCAAGCAAGAATTTCCATCTGGAAAACTTCTTTTTGCCGGTGTTGTTGATGGAAGAAATATTTGGGCTAATAATCTTGAATCTTCGCTAAACACCTTGCAGACACTTGGGGATATTGTTGGAAATGGCATTTAATATTTAATGTCTTTTTTCTGTTGGTGCATGTATATATTCAACGCGCAACAACCTAAATGTGAATTATAATTTTCTTCTGCAGAGAAAGTTGTGGTTTCCACATCCTGTTCTCTTCTTCACACTGCAGTTGATCTGGTGAATGAGACGAAGCTGGACCAAGAGATTATGTCTTGGCTTACCAAATATTTTTCAATTTTTCAATTTATAGGCAACGCTTTTTAAGGGTTGCATATTAAAAACCGTGGACTTTTCCTAAGTTTTAGGCGCGGTTCTTTAAATGAAATTATAAACTAGCTACGGTTTTCATTTGTTGCTTTTTTATAACCGTTGTATATTCATGTTTTAGGGATGGTTATTTTGTGTTGTTACTAGAAAACCGCGGCCTAAAACTACAACTAAAACCGTGGAATTTGATGATTTAGGCAGCGGTGTTTTGAATCCGTGGTTAAAAAAAAATTGCGCTCTAAAGGAATAGGCAACAACCATTTATTCCACGTCTGATAAACCGCCCCCTAAAGCCTTAGGCTACGGTTATTGCACTTTAGGCTGCGGTTTTGAGTTGTTGTCAAAACTCATTTTTGATGTAGTGAGTTACAAGCAATAGAAAGAAACAATACATGGGAGTTGGTTGAATTGTCAGCTCATACAAAAGATATCAAAGTGAAGTGGGTGTTCAAGTTGAAGCACAATACTGATGAGTCGATAGTAAGAAATAAGGCGAGATTGGTAGCTCGAGGATTTCTTCAGAGAGAAGGACTTGACTACTCTGAAGTATTTGCACCTGTCGCAAGATTAGAAATTACTCGACTAGTTCTAGCCTTGGCATGCAATCAAGGTTGGTCGACATTTCACTTAGATGTGAAATCTGCATTTTTGAATGGAACTTTAGATGAAGAGGTGTATGTCACACAACCTTCTGGGTTTGTGATTCAGGAGGAAGCAAGGAAAGCATACAAGTTGCACAAAGCGCTCTATGCTCTCAAGCAGGCACCTAAGGAGAGAGAGAGAGAGAGAGAGAGAGAGAGAGAGAGAGAGAGAGAGAGAGAGTGAGAAAAAAGTTTGAAAATGGAAGAGACAAGAAACGAAAAATAAAGTGAATTTGAGAAAAGAGTAATAAATATCATTAACTGAATTGTGGGACCCATAAATCTAATTAATTGAATGGATGGTGAGATAGTGGTAATATTTTTTAAAATTAGAAAGAGGGAAAAATCCCAAGAAATATATTAAAAAGGAAAATAAGTACAAAAATGAGAGGGAAATTGAGCCAAAACCTCAAACCTATCTAATTCTAAAACTAGGTAAGCCTAGTTTGCTTCGATTAAAATCTAAAACAAGGTCTGCATGTATATTAGACCACCAGGTAAAATTAAAGACTAACAAGCCTAAGTTAGCTATCTTATCAGAAAAATGATTTCATTCCTTGTAAATATGAGTCACCAAAAAATTTAAATTTTGCATACTAAGCATACAATTTTCCCATTTGTTCCTTAATTTTCAAGGAACAACAATGGCTTACCGAAAGCTTTCACCACTAGCATAGAACCTGTTTCCAACCATAAGTTTTTCCACTTTTCAGTGGTGGAATACTCCATGGCTAGAAAGATCCCATTATCTCTGCAGACAAAGCACAAATCAGATCCAAATTACAAATGAAACTCCCCAAATGATCACATCTATGGCTCATAAAAATACTGTCACAAGCAACCTGAAGAGGGAAGCCATCGGAGGCCCCATCAATGTTAAACTTTATCCAACCATGTTGTGGGGGACACCACAAAACCTCCTCGGCCATTTTTGGTTTAGGAGGATGAATAACAATAGAGAACTTTTCAAGCATAAGAAGTTCTGAATGGAAGAATTGCACATACATCAGTGGAATCGAATGCTAATTTAGTCCAAGATTCAATTGTAGAACAAGCAGACTTTCAAGGGATACTTATCCTAAAACATGGCCAAGTTACGGGATTGCCAAATGTAGTAAACCGAATTGATAATAACCGGAAGAAAAACATCTTTACATTAAGATGATGCATTTCTATTTAATACAATGCAACAATCCTCCAAGAAAGTAATATGAAAGTCAATTCTATTCCCCAACCACATCCAAACAGAGTTAGAATATCTACAATTAAAGAAAAGATGAGAAATGGATTCCTTCTAATTATAACACAAACTGCATATTGGCGGCAAATATAAGCCCCACATAGCCAAATTTTTGTCAGTAGGAAGCTTGTCAAGAATTAAATGCCAAAACAAAAGAGATTTTGAGGGCGTGACAAAAGTGTGCCAAATATTCCTACCCCAATCACAAGAATTAAACACTAAAATAAAAGAGATTTTTCTTTCTTTATGTTGTTTTCTATTTAGTATTTCTTAGTTAATATTTTATTTTCATAGCGTAGTGTACGTTTTGAGTCTTTGCATGTGTTGTCGAGTCATTTATGGGTGGTTTCCCGTTGTTTATTGAACTTCCTGTATTCTTGAGCCCAACCAAAATTTTGAAAATACTTAAGCTTGCATAGTTTGTTTTGAAAGTATATATGTTGTGAAAAAAAGTGATGCTAGATCGAGGAGACTTCGGAAAATCCAACAAAATCAATATTGTTCTAACCCCTTAAGCCTTCCAAATATGCATGCTAGTTAAATCCCTTTTGAATCATAGTCTTAAGCTTCTATTTCTGAAAAATCCTCAAAGTAGATTTTATACCAAATCAGGAAGCATCTGTAGTCATTAAGTAGGTTGGTTGACGAATAATAAGTGGATGATCCCTTGCTAAGAAAAAGATGAATAATAAGGAATAAACATCATTTACTAAGTTAGGTGACCCTCACCCGGTCATTTATCCCAAAATAAGTGGTTGAATTCTTTTAAAAGCAATAAAAATGCATCTTTGAAAAAAAGAAAGAAAAATTGAAAA